TCCACCACCCCAACCACCACACCACCTCTTGGCCCGTGACTACATTTCTTAAGGTGGAGGCAGCCACTGCCTCTTCTTCAAGCAACAAGACCCTTCTCTTCCTTTGGGGGTTGGCCCTCCCCCACTCTCAGGGCACTGGCTGGAACTTGGCCAGTGGACGTGTCGTATCCCTCGGGCAAGGTGGCTGCGTGTCTTGTCTGGAAATACTTCCGCCAGCTCCAGAATGACAGATCCCAGGAACTGGGCCTGATACCCCAGGAGGTATGAGGCCTCCCAGGGATCTGAGCCAAATACTCCGTTTCTTTTTGGCCACCTAGAGCTGGCCTTTGGCATGACCAGCTCACTCTGTGCACCTGAGTCCGCTCGCTTCCTCATGTCACACTTGCCCGTCCCACTGCCTGGAAGCTCTTCAACTCCTCCACCTAGTGAAGTCCTACTTGTTCCCCGCAGTCTGGACACCATCTCCTCCCCAGAGTCTTCCTGATGCCCTCAGACCCACGCCACATTGCTTTCCCACATTCCCACCGTATCCAGCAGGCTTTTCTCAGGAACCTTTACTTACTGGTCCCTACCAGCTGGAAAAATGTTGCCAAGCGTTATCTTTTATGTCCTGTTTAGAAAATAGGGATTTCCTCCCCACTCTCCAAACACAAAATAACACTGTAGCAGTTAACATAAGTTCTCGATCAATGCCTACCCCTACCCCAGATATTCTGAAATACTCCCCTGGAGAGATGTCTTCCCTGCTCTTGATTGAAAAACCACAGCACAACATCCCTCATTGACTCGGTAAACATCCACACAGCCCCCTTGGTAGAAGGCATTGCTCTGAACGCCGGACAGACAAATTAGACAACTGCATTATAATCGTCCCTTCCTCTGCACGAGCCAGGAAGGATCTTGCCACGCTGTTTCACTGGCATTACTTCAGGAACAGAGGGATGAAAACGGGACTTTCCCTTCCCACTTTATGTCTTTTTTTTTTTTTTTTTTTTGGAGAGGTTTTTGCTGTAGGGCACATGTGCTTGCCAGAAAGACAGAGACAGAGAGACAGAAAGTGAGAAATCACCGCCCAGGGGGGATGGCCACACCGCAATCCCTTCTCCTCCATTCTCCTCTCGGGATCTTGGGCACGCATGCACACGCGCCCAGTGTGAGTTTAAGCCACCAAGTCTGGGACTCGAACTGCGGTCGACTACATGGGAGTCCAGCGTGACAGCCATTACGCTAACTGCTGGTCCCCCTACTTTATGTAATTTTAGAGTGGCAGGGCTTATGGTGCTTTCGACTCTCTTTCCTGGCCTTCTTGGTATTTTTCAAGTGAAACGTTTCTTAGTGGTTCATTCGTGTGGCGGTTTTACCGTAAGACAGGGGAGCCCTGGCAGGGTAAGCATGGCTGAGACTCACTCCTAAGCCTTCTGCTCCCTGCTGGGACCTGGCACTCGCGGGAGGATGGGAAATATTTGTGGAATGACTGCCCCAGCAGAGGTAAGCAGGCACAGGGAATGCAATGGGGGTGGTGTGGGGCGTGAGACGCAGGCGAGAGAGCCCTCAGGCTCCAGGCCAGGGAGGGCTGCAGCTGCCGGCAGGTTGGGCAGGTGCAGCTTGGTGCCACTGACACGCTGGCCTGCCCAGCACTTGCTGAGGACAGGCGGAGAAAGATCAGAGCTGGGGGAACTGGGGAGAGAGGAGGGAGAAGAAAGGGCCTGGCAGGGAGAGGTTCATGGAGGTTTTGTTTGTTTGAGAAGTTTTTGCTATGGGGCATGTGCGCTCCCCAGAAAGGCAGAGACAGAGAGACAGAAAGTGAGAAATCACCCCCCGGGGGGATGGCCACACCACAATCCCTTCTCCTCCATTCTCCTCTCGGGGGCTTGGGCACGCACGCACATGCGCCTGGCGTGAGTTTAAGCCACCAGGTCTAGGACTCGAACCGCGGTCGACTACATGGGAGTCCAGTGATGTAGCCATTACGCCAACTGCTGGTCCCAAGTTCATGGGGATCTTGACAGTCAGGGCCTGTAATGGGTGGCAGAAGCCAGAGGACTGGTCTGCCACCACTGGTCTACAGGGAGCCTAGGGAGGCTGACCTCGGGGCACAGACAGGAGTGCCTGCTGCTCACAGACCTGATGGCCTGGCTGGGTCTGCACTCAGCTGCCTTGTCCCTCCTCCCTCCTCCAGTCTTTGTTCCTTCAACAGATATATCCTCAGGCTTATTGAGAGGGAGAGAAGTCATTGAAGACTTCCTGGAGGTGGGGACTCTAGAGCTGGGGCTTAGCAGATGAAGAGGAGCTGTCCGGGCAAAGGAAGGGAGCAGACATCCTGGTAGAAAGAACAAGAGTAGGGGTGCCGATCTGTGGCCCCAGTGAGGGGCTTGAGCCCTAGCACTGCTCAGTAAGGGGCCGTGTTTGACACAAGGCTGGACACCATGTCCCCATGAAGGACAGCAGAAGGTGGCAGCCACGGACCGTGTGGCTAGAGCCCTGGGCCCATAGGCGTGGGTTCCTGCTCACGATATGACTCAAGGAGAGTCACTGCCACCGGAGGCCTCGACTGAGGAAGACTCCTGGGTGCACAGCACCTGGTACTGAGGCAACCGCCGGCAGGCTGCAGAGCCGTGACTGCGGTGAGCAGGCACCGGGCTGTTTGGAAGAGCCATCATGGAACCATGGATCAGACTTCTCTGAGTGTCTGCAGAACCTGACCCAGTGGTAGGAGGCTCAGTGTGAAGCCCAGGCCCAAATGGGAACATCATAAGAAACAGGGTGGGCCCGTCTAGAAGCGTACCCTGGGTCAAGGGGGCAGTCTTGCAGGGGCTGGACAGCTCCCTGGCGTCTCTGACATCTGCACTGAGGAGTTCTGTGGAAGGCGGAGGATGGTGAGAGAAACGGATGAGAAGAGCAGCCACTGTGGGCAGCTCTGGGCTAAAGGAAGTTAGAGAGGTCTCTGCTGCAGGACTTCCGGGCCCTGCGCCACCCTACGACATGGGCCACAGACTGAAGTCCTTGTAGGAACCTAACGGGTGACGCGGGCAGGTGTGACGGGGCGGCTGGAGAAAGCGTGCCATCTGCAGGGGAATCCTGCTCTCTCCTGACTAACCTCCTACTGACGAGCTCCCTTTAGGAGAGACGTCAGCAACTTTATGGGTAGAACTGTCTCCCCCAAAAGATACGTGACGCCCTAATCCCTGGTGCCCGTACTTGTGGCCTAATTTGGAAATGAGATCTGGGCAGATGTAATCAACTAAAAATAAGGTCATAGTTCAAATGACTGGGCCCAGCTCTGGTGGCACGGGCAGTCGGGGCACCCCTATACAATGCTAGAGCCATATGGGGGGCCCTGGGATTGGTTTCTGGGTGGAACCGAACACGCCAGGCATGACCACAGGTGTGTTTCTTTTTTGGGAGAGGTTTTTGCTATAGGGCGCATGCGCTTGCCAGACAGACAGAGAGAGACAGAGAGACAGAAAGCAAGAAATCACGCCCCAGGGGGGATGGCCACACCGCAATCCCTTCTCCTCCATTCTCCTCTTGGGACCTTGGGCACGCACACACACACGCCGGCGTGAGTTTAAGCCACCAGGTCAGTCCAGGACTTGAACTTTGGTCAACCACATGGGAGTCCAGCGACATAGCCATTACACTAACTGCTGGTCCCACCACAAGTGTGTTTCTGATCCCGGCTAGTGGTATATCTGGATCTGCTGTAGCAGGGATTTCCCCTCTCTCTCTCTCATAAAATAAATAAACTTTTTTTTTTTAAAGATTGTATCCTGCAAGAAAGGGAACTCTGGATCTGGGAGTAGACACAGAGAGAAGATGGCCCCGTGAAGATGGGACAGAGGTTTCGTGGTCTGTCTACAAGCCGTGGAGCACCAGGAGGGCCACCACCACCAGAGCTGGAAGCAGCCAAGGAGGGATTTTTCCCTCACGGCCTCGGAGAGCACCCCGCTCTGCGGGCACCGGATCTGGGGGTCTGAGACAACACGTTGCTGCTGTTTCAAGCCCCCAGTTCCTGGTACTCTTACAGCAGCCCTGGGAACGAATGCAGCCACTCACTTGCGACCACGCTGACCCGCAAACTGGAGTGGGAAAGGGCGCAGCAGCTCCTGCCTCAGGGGCCACGGACCCCATTTCTACAAGAGCATCGGGTGAGCTAGGGACAAACTGTGGGGTCCTAGGTGTGATTCTCAGCCTCTCTGTCCACACAGGCGCTGCTCACGTGGGCGAGTCCCACTTTCGTCCCCATGAGTTGAGGAGGATGACGGCAACCTCCTACGAGGCTGTGACCCTGGGCGAGATGCATAGAGGGGCCAGCAACTTCTCCCAAGGCTTCCTAGGGTGGCTCTGAGCTGCCTGGCACGCGGCTGGAGGTCCGAACAGCCTGCGTGGACCAGGCAGCCCCCCCACTCGTTGCTTCTGCTTGACCTTCCTGGAGGGGGCATGGTGCCCTGTGGCTGCCCTTACCTGTGCTGTGAGCTGGATGGGTTGGGACAAGGTGAGCTGTGGGGTTCCGGGGGGCTGGCTGGCAGGCTGTGGTGGTGGCAGGTCAGCTCCCCCAGAGGAGGCTGGGGGCTGCGAGGTGGAGGAAGAGGCAGAGGAGGAGGAGGAGGAGGTGGAGGAGGAGGCGGCGGCGGCGG